ACCCCCGACCCCCAGGCTCCTTAGTTATTAAAGAAGTGTCATACAATAATGCCTTGTGTTCTTTATAATGTGTCACTGACAAGGCAGAGCTTCCTTACCCTTACCCTTATGGTTTTTTTTAAAATTGAAATAATGCTCAGTGGGCTATAAGGTGTAAAGTTGATCAATATAGATTCTACTTAATATTCTTTTAATATATCTAGATTCTACTTACTATAAACATAGATATCTATAAATTGTGAGGCATAATGTCTTTTTCGACACATTTGATATCAGTTTTGTTGGAATATAAGGTGTAAAGGCCAAAAGAAATTATATTCGAATGAAAAACGTCCTTTTCATAACAGTTGATCTCTAATTTTTTCTAATTCTAATGGCTAATAATTTTTCTAGGGACATAGCATACTTACTTATTCTAACAGACAATTCACCGATCAAACGCAATCTCTTGTACCAATAAATTGAAATTATTTACCAAAAGAATGTACAATAGCTTTTGTTTTACTTACTATTTCTGACAGACAAGGCACCGAACATACTTGAACTCTTGTACAAAATATTTGCTCAATTTGAGTTGCCGAAAGGATGTGCTTTTTGGGTTGTTTTGATAAAGGCCTTTTAGACTTATAATTTCCGAAATGTTTCATCCAAATAACAATCAGAGTGTTTTACTGTCGGACTGTAATTATAATCAATGCTGTACTTGTTATTATTGAAGGTTGTTTTCGACTTACGATGCATAATATATCAATGTTTATATCCCCAGTATTTGAGTGGGGGTTATTGTTATTCACCTTGTATATACTTTAATAGTATATCAGACAATATAGTTGATATTCACTGTATAGCACCTTACAATGTATATTAGCCAAATTCACCAATATACTATACAAGGATCAATAAGGTTTGTGTAAACAATAACACAATACTAGAATATTTCTACCTGAAGAGATTTCAGAATAAAGATATATTTGTTGATTGATTTCTTGTATCTAAATTGTCCTTTGAGTAAACATGTTTCTTTTTGATGATTAGGCTAGTGTTATCTTGTCGAAACGTCGACTTCTGATTGTCCTCCAGATTTCAAAATTATTAAATGCATAATACAAAAAATTCATCCTTAAAGTAAAACACCAAAAGATTTGTATACTTTCAATTATTCGACTGCAAATGAAACATTCAAACAAAATCACCATACGTTGTTGACGAATCTGCCAGCATCCTTCATCAACTGTAGTCTAGAAAAGATAATGGTACAGTGATGAGTTATCTTACCATGTTGTTAGGTTCAACAAGAATTTAAGATGGGGGCAGCAGATGTCGATTCGTGACTTGCACGTTAAAATGAGATGGGTTATAAACCAGATAAACAAATATTTCTTTTTTCATTTTGAAAGACATAATGACAGGTTTCGATATTATTTTCAAGGAGAGAAAATCTTTGCATATTTTTAGGGATTAGGCCTGCTTGGTGCGCATAATTTTCTGTTTAAAGGTGTCGTTGTTTTTAAAGATTTTGGTGTCAATATTCGAAGGCCCGTTGTTTAAGGGGATAATTGTTTAAGAGTTTATGATGACAGTAAGCCTAAGCCTCTACAGGAGTTAACTATTTCAACCGATTAAAATCCGCTTTGATCGAGTTTAAAGTTTCGGGGTATAAGGTATATCTATACACAAATATATGCAGGATGTTTTTGTACCAGTGTATTGCTTTACTTATCGTGCAGTGAATATATAATCACCTTTCAAAACACCACATAGATTCTCTCTCCGAATTATACCATACCCAGTTCTTATTTCACATAGATTCTCTCTCCGAGAAGTCTATACCCGAGTTCGTATCTCACATGGAAATGGTCCAATATTTTGTATACAAAAGTCAGTGTGAACAAAACGCGATATAGATACTCTCAGAGAAATTATACCGTACCCGAGTTCTTGTATCACTACCAATTCCTTAGTAGCATGTAAGTCAAATGGAAGATGCGACAGAAAAGTAATATTGTCGTCAAGTTATCCTATAATAATAACAAATACTAAAAACCGCGGAAACGGTGCATAATGACATTTCAATTGTCTCCGATACACATAAAAAAAGGCTTGAAGGAGTTCTTTTATCTGAAGTTTATTTATAAGGTACATAATAAGGAAACATGGTGTAGAACCTATATAGGCCTATCTAGAAATTTTGTGTTTTATCAGAGTAAAGTAATAATCATCACAGGATCTTTATGGAAATATTTACTCTGATGAAGGGTCGGCCCTACACCTGAAGTTGAAGGGCATAGAAGATAAACTATATTCCCTGGAAATCAGATTTTCGTTTCAAATTCTTCCTCATTCTCATGTTTCGGTCACCGAGTTTTTGTTGAAACTGCTATGTACTAATATATTGACCTGTGGGTCAAGTCTCCGGAAACGGGATAGTAGGGGAGGCGTTTAGGGGATAACTTTTTTTTTACCTGAAATATGTTATGGTTTATCAAGTAGAAAAGAAAGAAACATGCATGTAATATAGTCTACGTATAGATTTACGTATCTATCAGTTCACCTTACACTTACATACACTTGGTCAATACGTCTCGTGAATATGGTGAAGTAGCTGTCCACTGACTATGACCCATGCTTGCCACTTGTGAAATTATATCATCAACACCAAACCAATCCTGTTTCAGCTTTTATAATGATTGAATCAGTTGTACACCAGACAAACCTTGATCGATACAATCTGATTAGAAACTAATAGGCTTTGGAGCGTTCACAATCTCTCTTGATTGACGAAGAGGGTTGGATAATGATAATGCTTGGATGTACTTGTGACATAAATAAACTACGTGTAAAAAAGTTTCAAAAATTTGTGGATGAAATAAAAAAAAGTATGGGTATTCCTAAAACCGATATTAATCCTGTCTCCCAGTGTACAACAATATATATAGGTTTTGTTAATGTTTAGAAGTCAATACTGATTTTTACATGAATTTCAGCAGAATATTTCAAAATATATCTCATAAATTGGCACATATTATAATATCAAAGGAGTCGTTACTTTAACTTTAACTTTCAAACGCAGATAATTCTGGATACACATGGATTTAAAGGCTATAATTTCGACGGTGAGCTGTGAACGCTATTACTGATTAACCCAGTTAAAAAAAAACCTGTTTCTGAGACTGAAGTATGATTAGTCAAAAAGAATAGCGCATCTGTCCCTTTAAACATTTTCACCTCGACTTCATGGGAATAACTAGTGACAATTACAAATATTCTGAGCATATCTAAACTATTTAGGGGCCAGAAATGTATTTTATCGGTAAGTTGGTGCAGGTCAAATATGTATGAATATTATTTTAAAGGTATAATTTGTATTTATTCGGTATAGTTGTTACTCTGACACCGACTTGAACTTATATTGCCCCCCTTTTTCTTTACTCCAAATCAGTCAAAAACATTCCGACTCTATTCTGAATAGTTCGAGCTGGATTCTCCATTTCTCTTTCTTGACGTCTTTAAAGCTTTTTACTATTTTGTTGATTTTAACTTTTGATTGTTTGTTTGTATTTACAAATGTAAACATGATAAAATTCAATAATTTTCGTCAAATAGCGAAGAAATATGGAAAAATAACAGAAAATGGAAGAACCGGCGGGTGTGAGTTAAAGATGATATGAAGATATGAGCAAAGAATTTTTATAGCTCTGACGTATGCCACTTTAAACTTCAATAATTTTTTTTTTTTTTTGCTTATTTCGCTAAATTTCGGCGATTTGTTTTATACTTTGGTGGAATAGCGAATTAGAGTTTGATATTTCGAGCTCCAGACCTTTAATGTCTCATATTATGGAATGTTGATGTAATTATGCAAGAATTTGATAATAGGCCTAATACTTATATTTCGTCATAGTGTATATTGGTCAAATTAGCATTTATACTCTACAAGGTCTTCTAACAGAGGGGGGCACCCTGAGCTGAAGTGAATTTATGTTTGAAATAAACCTGACTGTGTCAACTCGCTGACTGAGTGAAAAGTGCGAGTCTGGATTGTAAAAACCCTGCAAACCAGATGTCAGATTCCCTACTGACAGAGGCACGATTTTAGGGGTCGGGAATATAAAGGGGAGGGGCTTATTTTGATTGACATCAGCCTAATCTGTACTCGTAAACCTTTTCATTCATAGATTTCGTAGACTTTGATTGGTTGAAAGGTATAATGTCTCCTTCTTAGCTAAAAATAGACACACGACTAAGCAACGAATGGTCTATATTCTAAATTTTACAAAGTTACACCCTCGCTAATATCAAAAATTTCATTTTAAATTAATAAATCTTATCATTCTATCAAAAATTAAGCATAAATTTTTCCCATTCTGCACATTTAAACCGAATGCATTGATCGTGCAAAAGATTGCGGGTTTTATTCTGATACATTATACATTGTTCTTGTCGCATACCGATAGAAAAACTGATTGTTAACAAGATTCTTGAAGAAAGTCGCCTTATTTCACAAATATTGGTGCATTTCATTTCATATTTGCAATATAAACACAAAATGCATTTTGTCACAGATTTCTGCAGAAAACTGATTAAATTAGCCCAAATTGTAAAATTCCAAGGAAAATTTCCAAGTTAATTGAATCGAGCTGTAAAAGTTCATTCAATCAAGCGGGCATTTTGACTGCAGCAGATACTTTACTTGTCAGTCTCCGCCTCGTTTTTTATTTAGCTAGGTCACAGACCTATAAGAAAGTTGAATTATTTCACAATTAAATGCTGGAAATGAATATTGTTTAGTGAATATGGTTAAAAATGCTCGTAGTTTTAGCTATGGTCAGTGAGATGTATATTCAATGCCGATATTGACTGGAAATTGATTGGAAACTTCACAGACAGCTGGTTATTAGACTCCGCCCCCCATTTTACACATGCGCACTGACTCAACAATCATCTTTGTATGAAAGCTGTTTTAACTGTGTTCAGGCTACTGACTTGTAAACTACATTCAGGACACCGAGTAGGGCACATCGTATTGGAAACTAGCTGAACATCTTTAACACCAGTCCACTCTCCGTCGTGTCCACATACCTTCTACCTCGCCTACTAACAGTTATTTTATACATTTATCGGATTTAGCTGTGCACGGTGTCGAGTGAGTTCAGTGAACGATAGACCAAGTTGACAGTCTACTTGTCTTACTTCAGTCGGACGGTGTACAAATCATGGAGCTCATGTGCTGCGAATCGGAAAATATCCAACTCTCTTACGAAGATCCAGTTCTATTAAATGACCATCGAGTGTTGCAGAATTTATTGGCCACAGAGGACAAATACGTGCCCAATACTTGCTATTTCTCTTGCGTTCAGAAAGACATCAAACCATTCATGAGAAAAATGGTCACACAATGGATGTTAGAGGTGGGTGAAAAATTTGGATCTCGTTAAATAATTTGGAATAACATCTCTAATTTTAATAATTCTCAATCGACATTGTTATGTGCAGAAAACTGAAATATTCAGCATTACTTTCAGACCAAATTTGTAGATATTTGGTGAAAATTCGATTTGTTTGGACGATTTTCTGGAGGTCGAATCTCTTAGCTATTTATGTCAAATGTGGAGGGAAAATCAGCCATTTGTGCATAAAATCTGCCAACTTGCTAGTTTATTTGTAAAATTTTTCGCTGATATTAAAAGTTAATCCAATTTTAAATGATATTCTTGGAAAAATTCAGCAAATTTCATTCGTTTGCATTAGAAAATAAAAATATTTGGATGTAAACAAAATGATAAAATTTTCGTTGTGTTCTGTGCAAGCTACAAATTTTGCACACTGTTAAAATATTACGTAAAATTTTGACGTCAAAATATTTTAAAGTGGTAATTTTTGCCTCTTTCATGTGGAAATTTGGTTTGCATTTTTTATTTTTGGAATGAAAGAATTTTTAGAAATTTGACTGTGCTGAAGAAAATGTTACGTATTATAACACTGTCGGTATGACTAAACTCAGACATAATATTTATCGCTTTAAAAAATACTGAAAAAATATTGTCTAGCTAGGCCTTCAATTTCTCATTTAAAGAGACTTGAACTAGGTTTTGTGTTTGATATTTCTAGAAAATTTGACTTGGCAAAGTGACTATGGGGATTTTAGGTGAAAGTTAATTTTCTGGTTAGGGTCTAGTATACACCATAATAGTTTTAGATATATAGTAATGTATTAAATTATTCTTATTACTGTATTGTTCTCATTTCGTGTTCTTAGCATATCATAGCATAGCATAGCATAGCTTAGTCGAGGTTCGCCTCATCTGCCTATAGCCTAATCTTATACTTATTGTGAATTTAAAGGAACGATATCACCATATTTTGAATTTTCTTCTGTAGGTTTGTGAAGAACAGAGATGTGAAGTTGAGGTATTTCCATTGGCTGTGAACTATTTAGACCGAGTGTTATGTGTCCGGGACATTAATAGATCAACTCTACAATTACTAGGATCAGCCTGTTTATTTCTAGCATCCAAACTTAAAGAGACAATTCCACTTACTGCAGAAAAAATTGTGAATTATACAGATTATTCCATTCGATTAACAGAGTTAATGGTAAGCTATCTTTAACATTTTATAGTGTATTCTAAAACTTTGCCTTTTCGACTATCAGAACGTTGGTTTATTGAATTGAACCTTTCTCTAAATATGACCCCGGTTGTAAAATAAGGGGTCAATGGGGTAGGGTATACTTTTCTTAAAATGACATCGGACATCAAACGTCATTTCTGAAATTGTCTTCGTTCCACACGTTCTCGTTTCCAATAAAACAAAAACTGAGTTTAGTTTAACTGTATTTGAATGTCTATTTTTTGAGAATTAGGCAAGTTTAGTTTGTCGTCTCCATATTCACTTGTTATTGTTTACTTGACGATTTTCTTTAAGGCAGTTAAAACTGGTCAAATTGACTGAGTACGTTGGATTAAACGACTTCGCCACTTGCTCTCGCCTTTCTGTGAGGTTTGGCGATCTTAAAAACTGAACACAAAGGGTACTGGTAAGGGTATTACTTACTACAGTGAATAGTGGTTATTATTACTAGGTTGAGACTTGAGAGAGAGTAAAGGACCTAGTAACTATTGTATAATAATTGCCGTGTAAAGGAATGTAACTGGTATGAATAACGGTATATATCGTACAAGACGTTATAAGTTATATATACCGTTTAATATTGCCCAGTCCAACTGTGAAATACGGGGTTAGTTATTAGTACTCTAAGGTCAAAAATCTGATTTCGGAAAAGATATGTATACTTATACGGAAGTCCGAAATTACGAAATACCTCTATGTCGTTGATGTATGGACGGGACAGTAAGTGCGACTTCGTGGTCTTGTTTAGATTTGAAATATCACGAGAATTCCGACTTGTTATAGCCTTGAAGGGAGTATAATTATCAATCTTACTATTATTTAGTATATTATGTCAAAGCCGGGATATTAAACCTAGATTATTGTATAAGGTTGGGCGATTACAGATAAGCTGTACAAATACTCTTTCTAACATAGGATTTACTGGTTATAATCAATTTATAGTGCAAAATAGTCATAATGTCGAATAAAAGTATGCTTGAATTATAAACGTTCGAAAAGTTTTCCATTGCTTAAGAGAGGGCCGGATATGGATTTCAACACAATTGTCATCTATGGAAACGAATAAGAAGGGACGGCGTTTTTCCATTGTACTAGGTTGACTTGTGTAGTAGACTATGTACTGTAGTAGTATAGACGGACACTTGTTTATTGGCTCGTATAGTGAGAAGATACCTACTGGGATCTGACCAGTGTACAATGGTCACTAGACTGGCCGTACTCACTGGCCCTACAGTTTAGTCCATTATTAGACCAGGGGGTAGAGTTAGTTATAGTAATTTGACGTGACTTGAATAAGGTGAAAATATAACTGTGAATGACTCCTTTGTACGTCGTTATTTGTCAATTATCGTCGATTTAGCAACACAGGCGCCAAATTGGCATCACAAGGTCGAAATTGCAACCAAAAATCAAATTTCCAAGAAGACGTCAAATGTGCAAGCTAACGTCAACTTGGTAAAATTACGTCATATTTCGACGTCAACTTTTAACAGTGTACAGCGTTATGATGACGTTCAACTGCAGATACAAATCTGTGGTTTCTACAAGGTGGTATTTCTTTCACTGAAGTTTTTTCCCATAGAGAAAGAAATGTGTGAATGTGAAATGCAGTAGGTTAGAAACTGTTCGGGGGATTCGGTTTAACTTTCATTCAATGAAAATCAGCTGGAGTCGACAGACTCAAATGTTGAAAATTCGGGTTTTAATCTTCTACGACAGAAGTTTACCATATCTTCTACTCTATCTAGATGACTAAATGGAGGAAATTCGATATTTTAACTCGTAGAAAAGTGAACTTATTAAAACTTTAAAACACCACGCTGGGTTTGAACTTCCAATATGGTTTCAATAATACCCATGGATATTGTATTTAAACTTTGAGAAAAGATTGAGTTGGTGGTTTCTGTAAATCTTGCCACGTATCGTTTCGAAACGTTGTGGTTTAGTGTAGGGGTTGGGCATATCGGTGTATGAGCTCGCGATTGTGGGAACTCGGTCAACGACCTGTTAATTTAAATTCCGTCCATTCTGATTCTATGATTGTTTCGCATGATGACAATTCCATATGAATCCATTTTTGAGTCGTCGCGTTTTGAAATCCTTAGCCTCACCCTAGGGTCAACACCTGAAGCATTTCCACATCCCTGACGAATCCATGACATCACCCAGGACAAACCTAGCCCTGCCCTGACGGTTCTATGTAATATTTATGATGAAATCTGATTCCACAGTGAGTCAAACGCTCTCATCATACCTGATGCTAGTGCGTAGGTGTGGAATCGACTGGAACCAAAATGACATCGCATAGATATTGTATTGAATTCTTTCCATTATAGTAACGTAAAAGACTTGCAGGATGCCGGTTCCAATCGATATATCGACCAATTGATACAATGTATTAAAATGTTACTCATTGTTCTTACCTGGCGTTATTGTGTTTTGCGTTTTAAACTCTGAGTAATGAATGACAGTATTTTTATTCATTCCGTTAGTCATTTTTAACTAAATTTTCTCGGAGTATATCAGTCAATTTGTTAATATACTGGTACTTGTTATTTTGCGTCAATTTTGGACATGGTAATTCATCCATTCATTCTTTCATTCATTGAGTCGTTCATTTTTCCACCCATTCATTTGTTTGCTCATTCATTCATTAATTCATTCTATCTATTTCAGGCAATGGAATCCAGAGTGTTACAATGTTTAAAATGGGATTTATCGGCAGTTACCCCGCACGATTTCCTCCAGCAAATACTCCCTCGTCTAGACATTTCTTTAGAAAAATCTGAAATTTTAAAACGACATGCGCAAACGTTCATCGCATTGTGTGCGACAGGTTAGTATTGTTGTTTTTTATTTAGGGGGAGGGGGGATTTGAGATTGGGTGAGAGGTATGTTGTATCTTGGGTATGATATGCAGACATCGATTTACATGGGGTATTACAACTTACGTTGCCGTGAGACTTGATAGGAAGGCTAGAGTGATTGGGCGTTCAACGTCGACTATATCACAGAATGAGTATACACAATTTTTAATTCTGCTGTTTTTCAGCGATATGCATTCAGGTTCAACTTTTAGGTGACAACTTTATATTTGTTTATCAAAGAGTAAACGCTCGGGAGGTGAAAAAAAATCTTTCTGCGCCTAAATAAAGATCAAACGATCGCAAGTTGTCAATAATCATTAAATTGGATCGTTTTTTTTTGCTGATTAAACTATTTACAAAATATGATTATTTATCGGCGATATCTCCTACTGGTATAAACTCGACTGTAGATGTCATTATCAGGTCTTGAATAGAAAAATATTCATGAGTGAAGGCCTCAAGGCGAATAACCGAAATTGTCGTCGTGCCTTTACAACGTTGATAAAAACATATAACATTAAACATATACAGCAGACGATAAAAACAAAAGAATTTGTGACAATTAAAAATGAACCTAGAGAATTTTAACACGAGACTTTTTGTCATTTTTGACTTTTGATGTGACGAAATGACTTTTAATGTGACAAACTGACAGTCGTAGACGTTTCGTTTACTTCTACGTTTCAATTAGGATCAACGCTTCTCCTTTTCATTTACGACATTGACGTTGTGGCTTCTCTCGCCTTACTTTCTTAACGATCCACTATTTTTATTTTACCTCGTGACCGTCAATGGTCTAGCAATTGTCGATCTGCGTTAGGAATGGGCAGTGGAGACTTTATTCTATCGTCTGGTAAATGTTTAGGTGGAATTCTGACCATATTTAGACGTCTGGTGGCCGAAGCAGACGATAAAATCTTACAATAGTCCGAAAATGGTCGTAAAATGGCTGACGGAAATCGTCTGCTATTTGAAACTTTCAGCCACACTTGGCCTTTACCAAACATTTCGAGGCAATGGTCAAATTTCGGAGTAACATTTACGTGGAGTAAATTACGACAATTTGTAGTTGTTATTTGATACCAAGTTAAAATGTAAACAAACCGGAGAGATTCGTCAGTCAGACGACCGGTCGGTCGGTCGGTGTTTGACCTACTTTTATCAGTTGGTCAATTGACGAGATTTACCCTAGACGAGTTACGTCCCTTTCTTTCTTTGTCTACACCTCGCCACGAGGCTGTTGAACTGAAGTAGGTTTGTGACTCCATTTCCGGCCTTAAATGTAACACTTCTGGAAAAGTTGTTATAAAAGTTGAAAATATCTCGCCGTGTAAACAAACACTGAGCTTTTAAATCAAAATTTCAACCCAAACAAACTTTAAAAATTCATTGTTAGACGGTTTTAACAAAGAACTAGAAACATGGTGGAATCGTTTAAAGACGTTTACTATCCTGTTCCCGACAAAATGTTCGCATATTTTAACTTAACTCGTCTCACAATGATTTAAAAACAACATTTGGAATTAATGTATTTTAAACTTATCTAATATAGGCCCACGAATCAGAGCGCGTGACAAGTCAGTGTAAAAGTGTGCAAGATACAGAGCATAATGATGTAAATCTTTATTATTCCATAGGACATATATATTATATAACAATTCGTGCCATTGCACTTGCATCTGTTGTCTTCTTAATTCTACGTCCATATTGCAATCGCGGTTTGCAACGAATAATGCCTATTGAATTGAGTTGCTTGCTGTGACGTGCGGCCTCTTCGACGTCATAAGCTCGCTGACGTATATATTACTATATACATGCGCAAAAGAAAAGATTTGTATCAAAGCATATATTGAATTGATACTTGATCGGGTCATAGTCGAGGTCAGTAAAGTTAATTCTGTGAAGTATTGAAGACAAGAGTATGATAAGAAGGTCAGGTTGATTAGTTTATTCCGTTCTATCGTCACCAGGTTACAACTGTAGTCTACTAGGATGTAATACTGGTCAATACAACCTCGTATATCCACACTCCCTCCTTATTTATACACCAGTCAATATTATGATGAGTGGATATATATATATATTAATTGGCTTCTCAGCGCAATCCGTTCAGTACTGGACAGAACAATGTCCTAGGGCCATTTCTCTAGAAATTCGCTTCAAATAAGTAGTAAGGCGTTTGAATTAGAATACATACAGTGCTGACTACAAATGGAAACTGTACTGTAATAACGTTCCGATGTGGCTAAGAAGACATTTTGATTCGCCGATTCAAACGTGTATCGGAATTCAAACTGTAAGGGAATTTGAAATTTAACGGTCGATGTAAGGGCTGCAGTGAAGACGCGTGTATAAAGGGACAGATGGTAGGGAGAGAATAAGGGAGGATGTAGTTATTAAAATAAGTTGAAGGGTTTAATAATAGAAATATAGAAGACGGAAGACCCGGTGATAACACGACAGGTGGATCTTTGTGATCTATTTAACTCACTTCAAATATACCTTCTTTAATACAAACCATACAGGTGATCGACCTACCGACAGTATAGTTTCTAATACAGGTGACCAAATTAATTCAATTCGCAGTCAAATTTGAATTTGACCTTCAGAATATTAAACGATATTTGCCCTCTGGATCGGACTAAACAATACGGTTCGAACATCTGCCCGTAACTACAACATTGAAATTTTGCTCAAAAATTGCTTACGTTATATGACCTTATTTAAGCGTTTATCAATAATTCTATTAAGCTCAAAAACGATCTAAAACGATGTCAAAGGACAAGGTAATTCCGTCACGCGGATGTCACGTCCTTGAACTTGATAAAATAACAACCTTGAGACAGACGTTAATGATAATACTATTATTTCGAGATTAACGGTGGATTATCTGGATTACCTGCTCTGATTTAATAAATCCGAGTCTTTGTAAATATACATTGAACAAATAGCTTCACATCACGTCATTATTTTTTACCGCTACTTAACGTGACGTAGTTGCGACGTTAACTACGTATTATGACGTACTGGGTGTTAACCGTCATAATATCACGTTATCATTTCATTTTCTACGTAGTACGGTATATTCAATCCAAACTTATAAATTTGATATTTTATCATTTCAGATTGTAACTTCATGTTGTCACCGCCATCTATGATCGCAGCTGGTTCAGTTGGCGCTGCTCTACAAGGTTTACAGTCACCCTGTCATTCGAAATTCTTACAAAAATTACACCAGATCACAGGAATTGAGCTGGTACGTTTGAGCATCTTTCTGTATTTTATCTGAGGCGGGAAAGCAGCCTTTCTGCTTCAAATATTGCACATATTTTAAATCTATAACAAAGTGATAGCTGCTTTTATTGGACTTTATATCTGGAGAGTTTATTTTAAAAATGTGCCGTAATTCATTATAAAATATTAGTATAGCGATAAAACCCTCGAATGGGTGATAATTTTTGAAATGGTGGAATGTGGACCACCTTGCAGACGACCTGATACATGTCAGTAGTTTGACGGTTTCTTTGTTTCTGCTGCAACACCGTTGTATATTTTAATGTGTTTTTTAAAGTTATTTTAATTACCGACGATAAGACTTGGGCTATTGTTTTAAAACCGTGGGTAGACAGGGATGACGTCATTTTAAAATATTGTCGTCTGGTTTAAGCTAAGCCTCATTATCAATTTTATTGTGACTATCTGACCTCTGTCACCTACAGGTCGCGGGGAAAGTGTGAGAAAATTTGGGTGTTATTTCAAGTAAAGAGAAATTGTGGGGGTTTATTGCTATCTTCTGATTGAATTGGTCTTTTAGGTTCTTTTGGGACGAGGGTCAAATGGTTTGTGAGTGTAAGAGGTACAAAGAAGCCCACTAATTCTGACATTTATGGGGACAGGGGAATTGCAAAATGTCCTACAAATGTTTCGTATTAACAGTGAAAGTAATAGGTGAATAAAATGTACCAAATAAATGATATTAGCTATGTGGACTCTCCGAAAGTAATGAAGAATAATACTGAAATTTGAACATGCGATGAAGATAACAGAAACTTGGAGAAAAATTCTTAATTTTCGAATTTCTTTATTTTTTCAGGATTCTCTGAGATTATGTCAAGAACAGATTGAGCAGACGGTTAATTGTAATTTAATGAATTTGGTACCTGACCCACCTCACACCCCCACCAAATCTGACCCTTTAAATCAACAACCCACAACCCCAACTGACGTTAGACAAATCTGTGTTTGAACATTTGACAAAAATTTCATCAACAACTTTGGTGAAAGGAAAAAAACCAAAAAATCTCCTTAGATGACTTTAGTTTGTTGTCAAGGTTACAGAATGTTCGAGAAGAACGATGATTTGGGTTCGAATTGTGGCCTGAAGTAATCCTTCCACTGGCATGGCCGTAATGTGTTCAACTCTTCATCGAAGCTGTTAGCTGGTAGATAAGCGTGTCCAGTGTTCATGGTAGCGCCCTCTGTGTTCTAACGTTGACCTGGAGGTCGTGACAGATTATCTATAAACTGCCAACTGACTGCCAGCTAATCGGAAGCTGCCAATTATCGTAGCAAAAAAACTGCCATTTTTATTCCTTGAATCTAAGGGACCAATCACAAATCATCATTTCATCCAATCGAAATTCATTTTACATTTTGTATATTTCATCACTTGACTTTTAAACTCTGTTGTCTGCAGTTCTGTTATAATTTGCTTGTGTTAATTAATGTTTTATTCTACTACCATATAAGGCAATCTGTGATCAAGACTTTCAAAACTGCTACATCATGCAGTAAATCGGCTGTAAAACTACAGCTAGTAAATGGCCTCAACCTAATGCAATTGGCCTCAAAATGATGGACCACTAATAATCATAGTTACAATCGACCTCAAAATGGACCAATGAGTGAAGACTTTTCAAAACTCAGAGAGAGAGAGAGAAAGTGAAAGTACCTCAATATTTATTGGATAAGAAATCATGTGACTCAGTTAAAGTGGTCATGTGACATTCTTTGTGGTCATGTGATATGACTATATATGGTAAAAAAAAACTTGTGATTAGTAACTTTCGAAAAAAAACAAACAATACTGTTAATTATAAATGCTTAGTTTTGTCTGGTATATGTAAATCAAGATGAATGCCTGTATGATTGAGACCACACTATTTAAGTAGACTAGATTAATGAGTCAGATAGTAGCTTGATTCATTCTACCTCTATAATAACAACAATTCCTCTCTTTTGGCTCTGATTAATTAGAAACTACCTCACGTCTGGCTGACCCTAGCATGTTATTTATTTTTCCCCACCCCCTTCAATTCAATTTAAATTAATATTTATCAGTATATAGACATGTAATATAATATATTCTTGTACAAAATTTTGGAGATCGGAATTATATCTTTTTGAGCAGAATTACAAATTGGATGCCTTGTCTATAATTTCCTCTGTTATGTAATTGCCTAATAAGGGCATGCTACTCCAGAGAAAATTTCTAATAGGCGTGTTTTACCAGACATATTTAATTTCCAATCTTAAATTTAATTATTGAAAATAGAATGAATGAACTTTAACCTCCGCCTATAATAATAATAATAATAATAAGTTAATTATAAATATAATGCTCGTATGTTATAGTGTACATCACCTGTGTATTGCAAAAACCTTTAGACTAGATCTGTTAGTCTTAGTAGGTCTGGATGATCAAGGCATAATTTTGAGAGATTGTGAGCAATTGTTTCCAATAATAAATTTGAATCGATTGTCTCTGGGTGTAAGGACTGGATGTTGCCGACTACTGTAAGATGATGAGTGACAAGAATGACCGAGACTAAAGCAGATCTGGTTGGATCGTATGAAAGTCCAACTAAATGGATGTGATAGAAAAATTAAAAAGTCTTTCACGACAAAAAATAAAATAAAAGACTGTGATAAAATGTTTGTCAGCTATTTGAAAGGCCAAGGTCGTACTATATTTAAATTTCAAAATGGCTGACAAACAACAAAAAAAGAAATGCCTCCGAAACTGTTTCGCACTATTTTTTTTTGTAGTGCATTGACTTCTTCAACCAAAATATGTTTGTGATTAGACTGAAGTTATAGCCGGTGTTAAAACTGGACCATGTTAATGTGATAATTTTAAAATAATGCCCTGGTCCAGTTGATAACCCAAGTTTTTACCAGTTTTCAAACTTAGTGTTCAGAATGTAAAAGTGTTCAATTTTCTCACAGCGATACGTTATCCCCATTAGTTCTAAATTGTTTTCAAATTTGTACGATATCCCCATTAGTTCTAAATTGTTTCAAATTCGTACGATATCCCCATTAGATCTAAATTGTTTCAAATTCGTACGATATCCCCATTAGATCTAAATTGTTTCAAATTCGTACGATATCCCCATTAGTTCTAAATTGTTTCAAATTCGTACGATATCCCCATTAGATCTAAATTGTTTCAAATTCGTACGATATCCCCATTAGTTCTAAATTGTTTCAAATTTGTATGTTGAAATCAAAATCCAGATTTATATAATAAATATATCGCTATAGTGCTTGGAAAGTTATATCATAAGTTCTATTTTCGTTTCATTCATTTATAAAACGTACAAATGTAAATATTTTCAAATTCACTTAAATCATGGTTCATACCGCCATATTGATATGACGTCATGGCGCAAATGACGTAATTGTACTTAATGACGTTGATGCTTGCAAATGACGTCATGGATATTTGTCTCGATTATTCATAGTCTCGTTTTATATTTTTCATTACAAAGATAAAAATGTTACCAGTTAGTTTTGATGTTATGAATTGTTTAAGAGAAAGATACAAACTGTTTTCATTCTTCACCTGTTTTTTAATCATGAACATTATTAAATAAAAATATAAAAATAAATATAACTGTTAATTATTCATACATGGGGAAAATAATCTGGTCTCTTTCTGATATTCTATACCATGGGAAGGGTTTATAGGGTTCAGCCAAGTCAGTATATGTTGAAACGGGATATGTCACCCTTATAGCCAAACTTAATTGGTTTCATCACAACATGATTCCTGCTACGTCCTGCAAGTCATTGTTCATATAATACCCTTCGAATGGTGCTACTAAGATAACAATCTACGAACCTTGCGTGAATATTCTTGGAAAAGAGAATAGAGAAGAATAAAGATGGACTTGGCAGCCAAATTATCCATTCTAAGATTGATATTGTCCCCCGTATTTCAATCTTTATACGATACTACATATTACAACGCTTTAATGCACTAATTGTAGGTTTATTGGGTTCCATCTTGCACCATGCATCTTTTATATAACGTAACTATCATTCAAAACCAGGTTAGAAATCATACCAATCTGATACTGGACACGCACCCAACCACTCATCGTGACAGACGAAATTTTAAACTACAGAACCCACAAACTATTCATGGTACTTGTACTCGTGGCACCATTCCAGGAAGTAATTGCTTGAAAAGATTACCTCGCCTCTCCCCAACAAGCTACATCGGAACCTTTCAGTTTATACAGAATGAGGCAAAAATATCTAATGATCATATTGAATGGTCATAATTTTTCTATCAATTGGATTGTAAGAGGTTTTCTTAACTTTTTATGTGTATTTGGCACAATGATAGCATCGATTTGCACCATTCCAATTTTCAATTAGACGTCTGTGGCTCTTGCATTTTCACTAAAACCAAGTGTTTAATGACCTCACTATCGGAAAAGCTGCAATTGACAAGGACCTTTGCGATAGTGACGTCATAAAACGCATAGTTTGAGTGGAATTGCAAGAACCACACACAGAACCATTTCCTGGTGCAAAAATAGCCGTCCCCTATACACAGAATTTGGTGTTATCTTACATATGAATAAAGGTTTTGCATCCAGATAATTTGATTCATCGGTATCATTACTTCTCAGTAGCAGACCTAACAGTATGTTGATTACAATCTAAATAGATGGTAAAGAGCCTTTATGCAATGTATCATATCAATGTGTCCCCGATGTACATTCTGATTTTTTTTAGAAAATCTCTATACAATCTCTTTCTTAGTGTCAGAAGTTTAGTGGTGATCTTTCCTTACTAAATACGATGCTTGGGGATCTTTAATCACAATATATAAAGACATGTTCCTACGTTTACCGAATCTTAGCTTTAAGTTATAATCCGGATACAATTTAAAGTTTATTTTTAATATATAAATGTAGACGTTGCGGGGGTAGAAAGCTGTGTGAAATAAAACAAGGGTCGTCATTGTTTCAACCCCAATCCTTTGTTTTACTGTCGTTTGTCCTTTTTTCTAATCCTTCATTACCTCATTAAATCACAAACTTTTCATTTTTTCCCTGAATTCTTCCACAGACCAAACACTGATGGAATTTCTACACCGGAAACGACCCCATCTTCAGGCATTCTGTTATCCCTCACGCGGAGAACGTCTGCACGCGCCAGTAGCGTGCCCTAAACAAAAGATCTTTTATTAATGTTTCTTTTTGATGTAAATTTCGACGCAGGTGAAGATTTTAAATTCAAATAACTACAGTGACGTATCTTTTACTAAATTCACAATTCAAACTCAACATTGACCATATTTTTTTGAATTCTTTTGATGTCGCCGACATTATCCTGATAAATGGGCTAATAATCAGAAATCTGCCGAACGAATTCGAGAGCCACTCGACATTTTACTTGAACTTATTAAATCTCTAAAACTGATTCTTTTTTAAACCATTAAATTATCATAAATTCTCTATAAATCTTTCAGATTGCCCAAATCACACAAATCATTGAAACTTTCAATACACACTGTATAATAATTACATGTTAAAATGTTATCAAATCGTTGTTATGGTAACACTTTTTCACTCTTTTGATATTCGTTTATACAAAAATCACCTGATAGCCTCGCGACCGATGAAAGGTTCAGGACTTTCTTTGAGTTATATTCTTTAAAAAACGAAAGGCGTCGCACTTGGCGTGTTATATAGATCTATTATACTTATATAATATCTTTATAGCCGAGATCACAGAGCAGAAGTTGCTTATTAAGCTGAAAAGCTAAAAGATGGAAAACAAAACCCCAAAAAACTCCGAGAGCCGAAGTTGGATATTTAGGTTAATAAGTTATGTTTTCTTAAAGGCGATCAAAAAAATGTGAAAGGCTTTGATTCCAAGGTGGATATTTTAACCTGATCTAAGTAACCAGATATCCGAATTAGACATTCAGCCTCCCCAAGTTGAAAGCGCCGTGTGTGATGTAAAACAACAATATTACACAAGGAGAGGAGACCCTGGTGATTTGAAAACCACAGATCAGATGAATCAAAGATGTTTTTCTGGGGTTTAAAATGTCATCGTCAAATTATTAACATTCTGCCCAGATTGGAAGCATGTCTTGAACGCTTTGTGCACAGATACTGATTACGTCATACACCATAACCACACATTGACGTGACGTTTTACGCTTTGTACAAGAATGTCGTCAAGGTGGTTTTTATTTTCACGTCAACATTTTTATTTTTCAACCATCTTGTTCAAATATTTGGAATCGAAAGTTCACATGCCGTGATACTGTTGTAATTCGGAATTTCAGATTCACTTCGTATTTTTTCGATTTTCAAATCGTCTCTCCTTTGAATATATGATTATAGAAATTGCTGCGAAGTTTTGAAATGTATCCCAGGAAAAATAATATTAATAAAATCGTTATCATTCATAGGTCTGATCGAGATCATAGTCCTTGGAAGAGGAAAGATGTTTCAGTGGAAATTATTGTGTTTTTGAGAGGCAAGAGAGATAGATAGGCTTAAAAATTTCTTGAGAATCCCTTTTCACAGATAAGTTGTTAATTGCCTGTCCCGGGTCCAATTTTAGAAAAGAGACTTTCGGATTAAATTAAACGACAGCACGAATAGACCACATCGAAAAAAATGACTTCAAAGTCGGTTAACTACTTATAACTCAATCATCTAAATTTGATTTTTGATCGACTTAACAACTTAATATGATCTTATCACCATTTTATTACAGTTATAAATCGTTTGCTAAATGTAATAAACGTAATGAACTAAAATGAACTCAGATGTACATATTTTATGATTTCTCCCACGAAGGCCCTGATTTAGTTTCTTTCTAACTATTTTAATATGGTCTATAATCACCCCAGATCGTCATATAGCCTTAATTTCCCTTCTCAATTTTACCTGGTTTCAATGACATCAGATATCTTAGATAGGGTTCACGAAAAGATCAAAGTTTTCCTTTGGTGACGGCTTAACTCGGTATAAAAGTAGATATAAAGGTATATTTCGATTACATGATTTTATCAAAGGCTGACTGACCCCAGATCATGAATGTGGGATTTGAGTGCTATAGGGTTCAAATCTGCCGCTTTTGTTTATTGTATATACATTTATGTGAATTCGTACGTATTTGAAAACTTTGCATCCATAAATGGTTAAAAACAGTGGATAATAGCAGTAATCAGTATTGGAAGTTTCAGAACGGTCGGAAAGTGATCGTGCTGGAATCTAATAATAATAATAAAATCTTTAAGAATGAGGTTGAAAATTTAGGCCGAAGGCCTCTTTACAGCTATGCTTTGTGAAACAAGATGGACAAAAAAATTAGTACATATCACATATCACACATCCAGAGCTGCATAGTAATCAGATCGAACGTTAGGTTATTACATATCACCTACCTGCCTACCTTCTGATATCATAAAACAGGTGTTTTCAACCCTGGTAACCATCCCAATGGGCGTACTTTTGAAATTTTGGGGGGTTATTGCGGCGTTTTATAGCCTAGAACTATTTAGTCAGGCTATATTCCATTACACGGAAAAGTTTGCAGGAAAACCAAAGAGAAAATCACGAAATAGTAAGGATTTAAATGGGGAAGAAGGGGTCATAGAAAGCGTCAATTTAGCAATATTTATGATTTTAAAAAAAACGACACAAGATCAAAATATTGACTGTTACTTGTGATGTAGATAAGATTTTCGATTGACTGTAAACTTGAAACGAACCGAGATGGTATCAGAGACAGCGAATTGGGTAGACGGTCGATCTGAAAGGGAGGAAAGTTATTAGGAACAATTATAAAAGGTGAAATCTGGGCGAAAATGAGTATGTTTGGTAGAAAAGTTGTTGATATTACAATAACTGAAAGATGGATGATTTATTTTGAGTTAAAATTGAAATTCTTGAGTGAAAAAGTTAAAGAAATTCAGCGAAACGTGAAGATGTTATTTGTATCTTTTGAGTACAAGTCGGATAATAATCTTTTTGTGAGTTTTGTCACTGATTTGAAAATTAAAGGTGAAACTGTTTGAAGTTGAAGATTTCTAAATTGTAATTATTAAAGTTTGTCAATAGATCTTTATATTAATATATCTTACTGAACAGAAAAATGTTATCAGATTTGAGATCATTTACTGATTTTCATAACTTCACAATCTTAGGACATCTGGGGATGAAATATCAGCAAGTACTTTTAACATTTTCCAAGCTAGGTAATTTTTATAATTTTACAATTCAAAACATCTGGGGCTAGAATATTGTTATCTTGCAATCAACTTTTGTCATAGGTACAATTCCACTTTCACAACATTTTTTTTATCTGAAGATATTTAGAGAAAAAGGTCTGTACCTGCAATATCTTGAAATTTGTGCAAGCTAAGAATTCTGACTCGTCTTTGAAAAAGAAAAAACCTTAATATTTTAAGTTAACGTGGATATTGTCCCACTTTTCTGATTTTGATCAAGAGATTTTTGTGAAGAAATTTGCGTCAACTGGCCAATTTGTAGTCAAAACCAGAATTATCAATTTGTCTTGTTGTCACAATGAAAAAGAAAAAAAAACCAACTAAGACACG